AAAAAAAAAAAAAAAAAAAAAAAAATAAATAAATAAAAAATTACAGGATCTGAAACGGAGGGTCGGCCAGAAGCAATGCTCTTCAAACGACGCATCATATTCACTTTTGTAATCGAAAGCCGCCCATAAAATTTCTCTCTCTCTCTCTCTCCTTCTCTCTCTCTCTCTCTCTTTTTCTTTACTGCGTTGAACAACGCAGAAGAAAAAAAGAGAGAGAATTTGAGAAAAACGAAGACGAGTAGAGACGGAAATGAAATTATGTAAGAGAGAACAGAAAATTATCGGGAAAGCAAAGTTAGGAAATAAGAATAATAATAATAAAAAAAATTAGTGGTTAAAAGTTAAAACAAGTCTAACGAGCTGATAAAAGCACTTAACTCAACCTTAACGAGCTAATTAATATACAAAATTATAGTAGTAGTATTTTTAAATCTTAGGATATGTTTAGTAAACCAAATAAGCTAGCTTATAGCTTATTTGGTTAGCTTATAAGCTTCTTGTATATAAGCTTATTTGGTTAGCTTATAAGCTTATTTGGTAGGACGAGCTTATTTAAAAAGCTCGAGCTTATTTGATAAGCTTGTTTAGGTAGCTTTTCAAATAAGCAGTTGAATTTTTTATTCCAGTTAGCTTATCAGCTAATTTTATCAAACACTTTTATCATATAAGCTAGCTTTTCAGCTATAAGTCATAAGTTATAAGCTATAAGCTCAAAAATTACATATAAGCTATAAGCTAGTTTATCAGCTATCAGCTAGCTTATCAGCTAGTTTTACCAAACATAGCCTTAATGAGCGCATCAACAGCTAGTTTTGTAATTTTTTTAACCCGAATTTACAATTTTAGTCATGTTTAGCAATTGACCGACAAAAAGGCAACATGTCCAACAACTAAGTGTAGCAGAGATGCGTATTCTGCGTTGGTTTTGCGGGCACACAAGAAGAGATAGAATCCGGAATGAGGATATTCGATATAGGGTCAGGGTGGCTCCAATTGAGGAGAAATTGGTTCAACATCGGCTGAGGTGGTTCGGACATGTCAAACGGAGGCCTCCTGATGTACCGGTGCGTAGGGGAGTTCTACAGCGGGTCGATGATGTAAAGAGAGGTAGAGGTCGGCCTAAACTCACTTGGGAAGAGTCGGTTCACAGAGACCTTAAAAATTGGAATATCTCAAAGGATTTAGCGGTGGATAGGAACGCTTGGAGGCTAGCGATCAACGCGCCGGATCTTTTGCTCCAATCTCTTCCTTTGTTTTGTTTTGTTTTGTTTTGTTTTGAATCCTTTTTGTGTTTCTCTTACCACTGTTTCTCTTGGGTTTCATTTCTAGCCTACTCCAACTTGTTTGAAACTAAAAGGTTTTGATGTTGTTGTTAGTCATGTTGGTTTGATCCAGTGACGTTTTTAGTTTTAAGAATTGAATATTTTTTTCTATTTGATCTTATGATTTTAAAATTCAACACAAAATTTAAAATTATAGAACTTAAATTGATAATAAAAAAATTTTGGATGATTTTTTTATTAGCAATTTAAGTCCTGTAATTTTAAATTTTGTTACAATTTAGTCCAGAAAGATACTACCTCCGTTTTTAAATAAATGTCGTTTTGACTTTTTTGATTCATCCATTTTGCTATGTATCTAGACATTAATATGTCTAGATACATAGCAAAATGGATGAATAAAAAAAGTCAAAACGACATTTATTTAAAAAAGAAGGGAGTACTAAATTACAGGATCAAAAGGTAAAAAGTTAAAATCTTAAGATTAAAAATACTAAAATCATTGAACCAGGACTAAAAATACAATTTTGTTTTTTTTAATGAGCACAATTTATATTTTATTTTATTTTTTCCTTTTTCTTATTATCCACAAGTCAAAGCTTCACAAGCAATCATTATTTACTCCCACAATATTTCTAGTTTTCTTGATTTATATGTACTTGAGGTCAGCTTTGCCTTTGGACTTGCGGGTCCAAAGTCCATCATCATATCATTACAATCATAAATAGATTTTTTTTTTTTTTTTTCCACTTGCCCTTCAAAATGTAGGATTGTTTTAGTACCCTAAAAAATATAGTTCGATTCGCTTACGAAAATTCAAGTTCGAGTCGTTTGTATATTTAAATAAGTCAACCTCGAATACAGTTGAACATTTTGTGATTGACTAAACGATTTTGTTATGAAGTCAACAGTTGACTCCATAGTGGAGTCAACTTTTTATATACAACAAATAAATTATGCTATATTGTTTGATTACTTAAATAACACTAATAATATGATATAGTTTACTTGATGTATATAGAAAATTTGTCCACTATGGACACAACTGTTGGCTTTATAGCAAACCCGTTGACTAAGTTAAAGTTTTTAGATTTTGCTATAACTTTAAAGTTTATTAAATGAGTTGAACGAGATTATACAAAACGAACACCAACTCAGATTTTTGTTTGTTTATTAAACGAGTTGACCTACACCAATCGTGTAATAAATGAGAGCAAATTCAAATATGAAGTATTTAACTCAAACAATCTAGCAAGTCACATGTATGAAAAAATCAAACTATGAGAATAATTTTTAAATATTTAATATGAATTAAATAAATTGCACATTGAATGATACTAAAATATGAACGTTGCATTTGTAATATAAAAATGTTAATATTATACTTTATAGTCATGTTTTTATATGGAGATGACCCTCTTTTAACATTAACTTGTGAATTATTAACTACTCTCTTATACACTAGTGCGCATCTCGTGCGATGCACAGGCTGACTTATTACTTAAAATCTTTTTTAGAACCTTATTTTAAAAATAATTATTTATATTTAACATTTTATTATTGCAAGAAAAGAAATACTAATATAAAAATTTATATATTATTTATTTGAATAGAATGAGTGTCACCAACCAAATCAATAACATCTAACACATGATATGTGATAATATTAATTATATGAATCATCATGATTTTTAAAAACAAAAAAATATATATTTAACAAATATGAGATATTTACAATTAAACCCATAGAATGATCCATGTCCCGCAACAACATGACTGGAGTTCTAATCTTCAAATACAACTCATGGTTCGGTATTCCGGAACACATGATACAATTCAAAAACTCAGGCGTATGGAGATCACACAAAATATCATTATTAGAATCCGATTTGCACGTATTGTCAGACCTCAAGTGCATACGACCATCCAACAAATTCAAGGACGTCATGTACTCATTGATATACTCGACCACATCCAAAGTCGACGCTAATATAGCCCTATCCATCAAATAACTTGGATCGCCATGTGTCTCCTTATACATTGAATATGTGCTTTCAACGATTTGAGCGTTAGGTTTATCATCAGATGGCTGAAGAAAAATGTCCTCGGGAATGTCTATAGGTGCACATCCATCATTCGAACTCCGATAGTTCCATCTCCGATGCTCACTATCCAATCTGCAAACCGTGCAAGCTCATCACTTTCATCCGAATCAGCAAGTCCCTGAAGACACGTGTTTTCGTAAGCCTATGCACAATACAACTCCTCATATGTAAGAAGCATTAATAGCAGGATTGACTATGTCCTGACTGTTGGGATCTATGAGGATCTCGTTATGTACATGTCACGAATTCAATAACAAACGTAAACCTATGCACAGCGAATCTAAAATTTTGACTTAGAAAAAACTTACCGCTTAAAATTTATATGAATCTGATGGATTCAGGATGACCGGAAACAACACGTCATGAGGATGCTGGGATTACGAAGGGATGTCCGAGTCGGGTCGTAGCAATCGAGTCGTGTGGATGCGGTGATCTCGTCGGTCGTGTCGCGGGCTGGTCGGGTCGTCGCGGCGGTCATCGAGCCGGATCACGGCGGCGGTCGGCGCATCACGGGTTGGGGTCGGTGGATCTCGGCCTTCGGGTTAAGATTCGTCGGCTCCAGTAGATGATAACGATGTCTCGATTACCTTCAAAATCTTCTACTGTATTACTCAAACATCTCTTCAACTTGCACCGGTGGAGCAACAAGAAGAGGATAAAGCTCGAACAGAAAACTAAGAGAGAGAGAGAGAGAGAGAGAGAGAGAGAGAGAGATGCGAGCATGATGTATATCACACGTAGGAGAATTTTGACCTATTTTTCTATTTTCCATGGGCCTAATGATGTATATATAGAGCTACAGTATGGATCCTTAGGAAAATTCTACAGTATGGACTAACTGTGGGCCTAGCCCACTCCTCTAATTACAAAAATAATATTACAGTCTATTAACATAATATTATTACACTCCCTTTTTCTAGCCCAAATTACTTTTGTGATTCAATAATAATTACTCGAATTACTTCCCCCATGTTTAAGATATAAAGTTCAATAATTAATTCGATTACTGATAATCAAGCATTAATTAATATATTATATCACCAAAGCTATCGCTCGTTCACCATATTATCATTATGTCGAAATTTAATCCACCTGCAGGGTTTAGCATAACAATTCTTCATGAACTCATTTCGGGGAAATCATCAAATTATACATACATGGTGATCGTAAATATCCTAACAATGCATCATACATACAACAATATTACCCAACACAGTACGACTATTAGTCCAACGAACTGAACCTCACCAAAGTGAATCAAAGTAATAGATACTGCATATATATGTTTGTTTAATATCTTACTGGTTAAGAGAAAGCAGTAATTAACTGAGGCCTAATTCGTTTACGACGATCAATATAAAATGAACTTCTCCTCTCTGGGATCATGTTTAATACATAAATGTACTAGTGCAATTAATCAGTCAAGACCAACTGTATCGTTGACACTACAACCATTCGAACGGGGTGTACATTTCCATCTAGGTTGTGACCATTAATTCTTATTTCGCAAGTAACTGATAAAATGATCTTCTGTTCACCCGATGATGACTCGTTCTATCTAAGTGCAAAACAACAGAACATAGAACTTGTTTAATCGAACAATATCCTCATTCATAAAGGGAAAAAAGTGTAATATCATCCAAAGCCAAGCTTTTAATATATAACACTAATACTAACGGCTACCCTTTGGAATGACAGAAATAATTTGTCGAA